ATAGCAGAGAGGCTTGCTCTCATGAATATATAAGGAATGTAGCCTTATTTGCTACACAGTAAGCCCTACTGTCATGCCAGTAAATCATATTAATTCTTGCATTGCATGGATATCTTGCCTTCTTCCAGCTGTAAGGAACGCACGGCGGCTTGTGTAGTTCTCCTCCACTCCATTTTCTCCTCACAACAACAACCCTGTGAAGTGGATAAAGCTGACTGGCCCAAGGTCACCCCGTAAATTTCATGGCTGGGGGGGGGGGATCTTGTAGGGGCTGCCCATGCAGACCAGCACAGTTTTGAGCCCCCTGTGTGCCTTTTTGACTGGCTAGGCTGACTCTGTCTTGAAGGTATATCTGTTGCTATAAAGAGAAAACCCATCAGGCAAGTGAGCTATCAAGTCAGCCATGCTGGGGCAGTTTCAGGATGACCACCAGAGGATCAAGATCAGCAGTGATGATGGCTAGATACTGTATTCCCAGTGTGGGAGGCCATCTGCTTCTGCAGGCCAGCCACTGGGAAACACAAGTGGGGCTTCTGTGCTCACATCCAGCTTGTGGGCTTCCCAGGAGCAGCTGCTTGGCCACCATGTGAACAGAATGCTGGACTAGATGGACCCTTGGCCTGACCCAGCCAGGCTCTTGCATTCTCAGGAAGTAAAGATAGAAACAGTTCAGTGAAATAGGAGAATGTCAAATAACAGTACATTCTACATCTTTCCAAACATCTGCATTCAAACTTCAGGAAATGATTTATGCTTGGAGACTGGTTGCAACATACATTTTGCCTTGGGTACACTTCTGTGTAGAACAGTGGGGTAGCACTAATTTAAATCAAATCTATTCTGGGTGATTTTTCAGTGCCCCATTTTCATTAAGATTTCATAAGACTATCATACAAGGCACTTTGGGAGCATAATTTAGGTACTGTTGTTGCTATTCTTTAGCTGTGACTGGAATTCTGGATGGAAATACCTAGAAATACATACTCATGGACCCCTCAGTTCTTAACACAGCTAGGAAAAAAATAACATTCTTCCCACTTCTTTATAGGATCTTTGCAGTGTGGCCTGGCTCCATTAATTGCAATCAGAAAGGGAGAAGTCTGTCTTCCATATGACACTATGTCCGTGTATTCTGAAGTGAATGCAGTCAAGTTCTCTTGTATTGATGTTATTTGATTCTGCCATTCACATTCTTCACAAGCCATCTGTCAACACCAGCGCAATAGGAAAGCTGTTGGAAAGAATGAACATGAAGTATCACAGAGCAATACAAATTTCCAGAAGGTAACTGATACACTGGGGGGTTTGACATACCAAACTGACAAAAGCTCAGGATAATCACTGTGCAGACAAACCACCATAGTGCAGCTGTTGGTAGCACGGGGCATGGTTTGGGATTTTCCATCACCATCTGGACTTGTAGGTGTAGTACAATGACCTGGCTACATGACTAATTTAAATGCCATTAATTCCAATGGATCTACTCTTAAGTCTGAATGAATCTGAATCCAACCCAATATAAAATTGCAATGATGTAGAGATGAGTGTATAAAGGCATTCTCACTCCAGGGACAGAGGTGATACACTTATATTTGTTCAAACACATGCCTTGCATAGGTATTGCATAGGTGTTGCTCATATTTGTTGGTTGCTCTTAGCCATAGCTCTCCAATCAGCTCACAATTAAAAACAAACATGTGCAATATAATAAAATAAGCATGTATGTTGTTAGTTTACAGCCTGCCTTTCTACCAAGAAAATTTATGCAGAAATTTAAACGAGCATTAAAACAGAGCCTAACAAATGGTGCATTCCTATATCAGTTTAATTTCACTGAACTTGCTAGGGCTTCCCCCAAAACAGGTGGGTAGATTACTGCATCATATAGTACTTCAGATGAGAAGGCAAATATATGTGTTTTCTTTAGGCAACATAAAGACATGAGCGCTCTCCTTCAGAAGCAAGTTCCAGTGATAGGAGCCACAACAGAAAGGCCCTGTCACTATTTACCACCTGCCTTCTGTTCAACAGTCGTGATACCTTGCACTGAGGAATACCTTGCTCTGTGCTGATGTAAATGCATTGGTAACAAAATTGATCCCATGCAATTGAGCAATAGTCTCCCAGCAATGCCTTCCAGAGCACGCGTGACAATCGAGCTGAGATGATGAATATGGATAAATATGAATATGGAATCTGGAGTAGGCCTCATGTTGTGGGCTTTGGTGGCTGTTTGCCTCCTGCAAACAGTGTTGAAATTTGTCCCTGACCCTATTAGCCAATGCTTAACTTTTGGAGTGACGTGGTTTGCTTTACCAGGAGCGAATTCTGTCACTTTCTGTCCACTTATTTTTTGCAGGTCTAACCACAATATGTCACAATTGTTCAGTGCATTATAAAGCTGCAGCCATTACCCTACTTTCGCTCTACCAGAATTAGAGCTGAGAATTTCGTAGATTTTCCTGTAGAGTGTTAAACCACAGCTGTGTGAATCCTGCAATTCTGCACAGACACAGGGTTTGGCATTAGGCACAGATTTCACCATCTTCAGTCTTGTCTAAAAGAAGGAAAAAAGCAAGGGCACGATCCATTCTCCGGTGCACACCTTTTTGTGGTTTATGAATGTGCAGTCGAGCATCACCAGTCTTTCATTCTGTGTGAGGATGGTACATGATCATATCACATCTCACCTGTGGGGCAGATTGGTGCCCTGGAACTCTTATCTGCAAAGATGAAAATGTGGGCAAAGTCTGGCTTCTGAGTAAAATCCTCTTGAAGATAATCCAATACACAATGGCCAACAGAGAACTGCCTGATGTATAAGTGGATTTTGTAAAGGGGGAGGAATGTGGGATCACATTGCCAATCTATGTTGGATGATGGAAAAAGGAAAAGAATACTAAAAAGACCTCTAAATGTGTTTCATTGACTACACAAAAGCCTTTGACTGAGTTGACCATGACAAGTTCTAGAACTGCCTCAAAGAATTGGGAATATCAACACACCACATCCAGCTCCTTCAGTTACTGTACTCTGATCAGGAAGCCACTGTAAGAATGGAATATAGAGACACAAAATGGTTCAGAATTGGAAAAGGCACTTGGCAAAGTTGCATCCTGTCACCTACACTATTTATTTATTTATTTATTTATTTATTTAAAACTTTTATATGCCATCCTATATGTGTGACATCTCAGGACGGCTTACAATATTAAAATCAAAATACACTAAAACCATCAAAACCTATATAATAAAACAATATATAAACAATAGAAATAAATTGAATCAAAATCGACTGTAAAACCATTAAAATGCTAATGTTTAAAATAGTGGTTGAATAAAAAGGTTTTGACCTGGAGCCAAAAAGAGTATAGGCTAGGTGCCAGGTGAACCTCTCCGAGGAGCACATTCAACATATACACTGAAATAGTTATGAGGAAAGCACGTTTGAAAGAAACTACCATTGGGGTCAAAATTGGAGGTACATAGGAATATCAACAACCTCCGTTATGCAGATGATACAGCTCTGCATGCAGAAAGCAAAGAAGATCTGGAGTGGCTAATCCTTAGGGTCAAAAATGAAAGTGAAAAATTTGGATTGCGCCTTAACATCAAGAGAATAAAAATAATGACAACTGCAGAGAACACACAGGTCAGAGTGCAAACTGACAATGAGACCAGCAAAACAGTAAAGGAATTCAACTTCCTGGGATCTAAAATTGACCAGTGTGGTGACCATAGTCCTGAGATCAGAAGGAGCATAGCACTTGGAAGAAATGCACTGTCCAGTATGAATAGCATCTGGAAGAGTAAAGACATCAGCCTTTCTACCAAATGCAGACTAGTCAACACAATAATTTTTCCAATTGCCATGTATGGCTGTGAAACTTGGACTCCGAAAAAGGCAGATAGAAGAAAGGTGTTGCTAGAGATGATCGTTGTGCATCCCATGTCTGCAAAAATCACAAATGAAGTCCTAGATCAAGCCTCACCAAAAATATCACTTGAAGCCAAGATCACGAAACAAAGGCTGTCATACTTTGGTCATGTCATGAGAGCTGATTCACTTGAAAGTCAATCATGCTGGGAGTGATCAGCAGAAAAAGGAGAAGGGGCTGCCCAAGCACCCATTGGCTGGACACCATAAAGAAAGACAGTGGGATGGACATGGTGGTCTTGAAGGAAGCGGTGCAAGACAGAGAGGCATGGAGAGCAATGATCCATAGAGTGGTCAAGGGTCTGACATGACTGAATGGTTGATGACAATGACCTCCTGTTTTCCAGAAACAGAGTAAATTTGGAGTGTTTCCACAATCTATGTACAGGTTGCAGAATTCTGCCTTCCTTTATATGGAATTATCTCTGATTTGTTTGAACATGTGATAAATGTGGATCTGCCTTTCCTTCAAGAACGTTTATGTAGCCTCAAAAAGTGTATTTTTCTGTGGCTTTTTTGCTGTGGAATTACACAGTAGTGAACTTTTTTTTTTGTTACTCTTTGGCTAACAAAGATGACCAGTCATATCTGTCTCCATTGCCTTTCTTTTTATTCCTTAACGTAGTGGACACATTTACCACTGAAATATACAGTATTTGAAAATTGTATTAATTTCTTAAGACTTTTTCTTTCTGATCTTAATACCAAGCTTGCTATTACTTTTAACAACACAAGGGGGCTACTCAACGGAAAGTCCCGCCGAGTTCAATGGGCCGCACTCTCAGGCAAGAGCATATCGACAAGACTGCAACAGAAAACTGTATTTTAAACGCCAACAGTCTGGGACTTCATCTCTCCGCTTTCTCGACCATTGGCCAGTGCAGCAGAGGCGCCTGGAAGTTGCGGTACTAAACCAGGTCCAAGTGGAAAGACCTCTGGCTCTCCTAGCACAGAAGAAGAAGGCGGAGACGGGGAGTCACGTGAACTGACGCGAAAAAACGACCCGTCGCACCACGTGGGAGCCCTCTTCGCTTGATACTTCGGGGCGGAGAGCAGAGAAGCGATGGCGCGTGGGTTGGGGGCTGCTTACGCTGCAGGAGCCGGTCTGTTGGGGGCGCTGGCCGCCTGCTCAGCCAAGCTGGCTCTGGGCGCTGATTACCTGCAGGCGGGCTGCATTGCGGTCATCGGAGGAGAGGAGACGGCTGCCGGTGCCTGCGCCTGGGTAAGAGGTGGCCCTTGCTCCCTCTTCGGAAGGCGGGAGCTAAAGCTTAGCAATCCGGAGCACAGTTTGAGCCGGCGCAGGGCACGCTCATGCGGGCAGCCCGGCAATCCTTAAACCTGGGCCATTCGTAGGTGGATCGTGGGTGGCGTGTCTCATCCACGCGCAAGCTGCGGCTGGACTTGGGAGGATACCTGGCCCGCCCCAGGTTCCCCGCGTGGACCTGCTGTAGGGAAGACATGAATGCAACAGTGCCCTTCCGCTCGTTTTCTGCAGCAACTGGCATGCGGAGGCACTCTGGCTCAAATTCTGGAGATGATGGCTACCAGTAGTCGTTGATAGCCTGCTTTTCCATGATTCTAAAGACACAATCTTACGCGTGTTTAGACAGAAAAAGGCCTACAACTCCCAGCATGCTCCAGCCAGTGGCCACTGCCTCTTGGGGTAGCAGATTCCATGGTTTAATAACGCCATCTTGTGTGGTTGTGTGGAGAAGTACGACTGCCCCACCCATCTGCCTCCCTGGATGGTCTCAGGAGAGAGGGAGAAAAGCGTTTCCCTGTCTACTTTCTCCACACTTTGTATACTGCTCTGTCATGCCTACTCTCGTTCGTCTTTTTTCCTAAGCATAACAAGGTCCAAATATGCAAGCTTCCAGGGAAACTGCCTCAATTGCTTGGACATTTTGGAGGTCCTTTTCGGCAACTTAACCAGTTCAACACTATCCTTGCTTGAGTGCAGTGTTTCCATCTGTACACAATACTCCGAAGTGTGGATGCAGCATACATTTCCATAAAGGCCTTATAGTACAGATACACAAAAAACAAAGGCAGCCATAAGAAAAATGCCCACATATTTAATACCTTTATTAGGCCAATTCAGAGATTACCAAAACATGGGCATGTTCTTGAGATCTCCAGGTCTCCTCATTAGGAATACAGAAAGCTGGTGGGGAAAGGTGATTTTACGACTGGTTTCATTTTCCTAATAATCTCCACCAAGAATTTGCCCTTTTCTAAGTGACTGTAGGCAGCATTTACATCAAGATAGCCATCACAGCAACTCTATGATAACTGTTGTAAACCGCCCAGAGAGCTTTGGCTACTGGCAGTATAGAAATGTAATAATAATAAATAATAATATGGGAAGTTAGGATTTTTTGCCCTGATGTGTGTTGCTTTCCTGCTGTTGACAATGAACCACATTTGCCACTTTAGAACCTATTCCTCCAGTACGGAGGTAACTTTTCAGAGCTTTTCAGCTGAACTGACACCATACATAGAATTAAGTAGCGCAGGCAGGATTATTGCACAGTGACTTACTCCTGAATAGCTTTGCACAAACTCCTCTTGGTAAGACAGTGTCCAGATTGGTAAAAACCACATTCATCTTGTCTCTTCCTTTGGCCTCTACCCATTGCAGGAATGTGGCCAGTGAGATCTTGGTGGTCCTCTTTTGTTGCATTTCCTTGAAAATGGGAGATCCAGCAAGCTTTGCTTTTAGAACTTTGTGCAGATTGCGTCTTGACTTTCTTGGGACTTGGGGTTGAGTACTTCTTCATAGATTGCCAACTTGAAACACAAAAGCCTCCTGGTTGGCCCCCGTGTTAACTTCAGGTAATTGAAGGTGTGGCAGAAAATGTAATCCCTCTTGAGAATCAACGCCTATCTGGACTGTTTACTGAAAGGACCATTTCTTTGTGCCCCATGTCATGACTGATTATTCTACCCACCCTCTCACCCTTTGCTTTCCACTCTTGCATTTTGTTGAGTCCACCTTATGTAAGCTGCTTTCTCATTAAGCAGACCTATAAAGGTAGGATTGCTGTTTTAAAAGCAGCATGACCTTGTGCACTCATGGGAGCTTTCAGGTTCATTTGTGCACTCAGTTTCGTCTCTTATATACACACACTTCTGACCTGGTTCACATAATCACTGCAAACTAATAACCCACAATGGGTCACAGGGCTTCTCCAGTTCAAGCCCCCACTGCTGCAGCTTCTTGCATCACCCAAACCTGGTGAGGGTGATTTGTTAGAATAGTAATAAACAACTCTGCAACCTTAGAATGACCCATGTGTTCTGGGTGGCTTGTTTACCTTGCCCACAAGCCAGCCTTGCTAGATTCGGACAGCAGAAGAAGCAGCAGCAGGGGAGGCCAATTGGGGAAACAAGCTGTCATGTGCAGGATGGTTAACAAGTGCCAGCTGGGTCTCTCTTGGTCCAACTATATAAGAGAAAATGGGACACTGGGACACAAATTACTTTAAGGGTCACCTTTTCCATACCAGATGGCCCGCACCCCAGTCATCAACAGAGACCCTTCTCATTTAATCACTGCCAAGAATGGTTAGGTTGATGAGTACAATGGGGGGAGCCTTCACTTGGTGGTTTTCACCTTGTCTGGTCTTCAGGAAAGCCCAGAAAACCCTCCTGTTTTCATCAACCTTCCCATTGTGTCTTGGACTAACTAGCAACTTCTGTTTTTCAAATTTTTAATGGCAATCTCTTTTATGGCTTCTTATTGACCGTGTGTACTTACACATATCGCATCCACTCTGCATGTTTTCCCCCTTGTACAGCACTACAAGCCCCCCACCCCCATCAGGTGACCTAAAAATAATTTAAAATAGATAATTAAATGGATGTGGGCTAATTAGTTTGCCCAGTCTGCAATCTCATTGCTAGGAGGAAGAAAAAAGCCTGAGGCTAGATTGTTGATCATGCTCGGAGATATTTATGCACTCTTATGTCCCTGTATCAGTGTTATTTATATGAGGCAACCAGTAATTATGAGTTTTGCTGGAATGTTCAGTCAGAGAAGAGTGAACTGCTGCATGAAATCAAGAGGCTGCTCGTGATCTGAGAGGCTGGGGAGGTGTTCCTCGTTATGAGAGAAGATTTCACAAGAACTGCCAGTTCCAGAGTCTGGTGGTGCCAGCGAGCATCTCCAGTGCAGAAGTGGGAGGCCACAAGAGGCTTGGCAGCAGACTGGGAAAAGTGGGAGAAACAAGCCCTGTAATTCAGTGTCCTGATTTGGGCTGCCTCACTCAGCAGCCCCAGCCAGCAGGGTCAGTGTCAGGAATGCTGGGAGTTGTAGTCCAAAACATCTGGAAGGTGCCAGATTGGGGAAGGCTGCACTGAAATAATAAGCAGGGACATTGATAACCCCAGGAGAGAAGGAACTGAGACATGTCTGCTCAAATGAATGAGGCCACCAGTCTCCAGGTTGCAGAGACGTGTTGACACGAGATGCCCATGGCCACAGACTGTGTCCTTGGATTGACCTTGACTGTTGTAAATGTGACTCTGGCAGCCTAAAAGACTGTTCAAAGCCCTAAGAAGGCTCTTAAACTCAGCTGTTTAATAACTTTAGCAGGAGACAAGCAAAAAAGCCTCCATTGATGGCCGCCATGTGGGCCGGCAGGTTTGAAGAAAGCCAACCCTTCAAGAAATTTGGCCCTGGGGAGAGACTAAAGAACAGCTGCCAAAGGGCCAGTTTTTCCAAGCAAACCATGATTTAGGGAGGCTGGACATGTTGCAGATTTATAGTTGACCCAGAGAAATGATACTTGGGCACATTATATTTTGTGAATACAATATATAAATATCAGTGAATACTAAATCCTGGACTGCAAAGCCTGGTGTTGTTGTGTGGTCAAAGTAGACAATGTATTGTTGTGTTTGCTGTTGTTAAGCTATGAGAAGTTGAGTGTTTCACTGGGGGAAAGGGACTTTAAAAAAATGCTTTAAAAAAATCTTTCCAAACCCCTTTTCTGCTTGCAGAAGAAAAATAATAGTCAGTCAATTACTGATTATTATTTATTATCTAATTGAAATTTATTTCACCAATCTAGACCTTTATCCTTTGTGAAGATGTCATGAGAAAAACTATAGTGCTGTTGTGTACATGTGTGGTGATCTCTTGGTGAAGCTAACAACAGTGGATTTTGGGTAAATGCACCCTTACACACTCATCACACATCACCTCCTTTGGCAATGATATTTTTGTTTGGGTGACTCCAGGATTTTCTTTCAAGAAGTCAATTCCCACCCTCAGTAAAAACATCCAATGTCTTGGGTCACATTAAACACTAGCAAATTGATTTTAGTCTAAGCTCTTGTGGACACAGTCCGCTTCATCAAATGCAGGAAGTACTATCTTCAGATCAGCAAATCTGTAACTATATGGAGCTGAAAGAGAAATGTAAATTGTACTGTTGGAGGGAAGTGGAATGCATATCTATTCAAACAATTCTGATGATGACCTTAATAGTTGCCATTCTCTGTAGCCATTTTCAAAACTTGACCCTGATCATGAGGAGTTGGATGAAGGCACAAAGGAAAAAGAGCACGTCTTTGCATGGCTGAGGCAAGGATTCAGCCTGTGTTGATGAGTGTGGACCCCATTTTTAATATCATTTTGCATCCCTGCATATACATGAACGCCTAACCCAAAGTTACAGAAACAGCATGTTAATAGGAAAGCACCACATGCTACATGTAGTTGGACGTTGTTCAAAGTCAGCACAAGAGAACATGTCAACTGCAGTGTGTTTGAAGAAGGGTTTGTGGAGCTCCCATGCTTGCTGGAAAATGTTGAGATGGATTCCAGAAAAGCTTCCTGTTTGTCTAAGCTGTTTCCCGAATTCTGGAAGAAAGAACCTGATAAAGAATGTTTGAGTTAGGTGAAGCTACCTCATCTTTCAGACATCCAGACACTTTCAGAGGATGAGCTGTAATAATTAGCATTCTGCTGCAAGGAATTTGGTGCAGCTGCTTTTGGGCTAGACTAAATCTAGATCAGAACTTAGTTTTAGCTAACTCCAAGGAAATATGATGCATGTAATTTTTATATGTAACATTACATATAATGTACACTCTAGTGCATTTCAGGAGTTGAACTGGTATCATAAACTTGGGAAAGTCTAAATGGTATCCCTCTAAATCAACTAACCAGTTTCCTTTTGTTCCAGCTGAAATCAAGGGTTCAATGCAGCTTTATGCTGAAGGCCACCAGTTCCTTGAAAATGTCACACAGGGATTCAGAAGACCCAGCTGAATGGGGAGACTCTGAAAAAATGCATGGGGGGACCTTCCACAAGTTGTGAACGTCACAACTTTCCTTTCACAGAAGACAGCTGCTGGATTCAACTCTTTACATTTCTATCTGTGTTTGATCTTTCATAAGAGTAAACTCCAGAGCTTACTCAGCCCCTAGACCATGGGCAGGTAACTTGTGCACATCAAGATGTTTGAGCCTACAACTTCCTTGGGCCTAGCCAGGATAGCCAATTGTGAGGAATTATGGGAAGTGTAGGCCAGGTCATCTGAAGAGCTGTAAGTCACCCATCGCTTCTGTAGACCATTAGGTCTATGGATACAGCTTCCATAGGTGGTCCATATTCTTCCACAGCCCCTTCCTTCTCCAATTAAATATAAAGTGGAAAATGGAGTATGCTGCATCATCCTGGAAAAATAGATCCAGGTTCAGAATGCTTATGAAATCCATCAGCACTTCATGTCGTTCTGCAGTTACCTGTGATGCTTCGAGTTGGATGTGGTGGTCTGGTACTTGCATGGAATGCCATAATGTGGACCTTCTTTGCCAAAGCTCTGAGGTATTCATCCTCCTCAGCTACAGCGACTGTGACATCAACGGCTTCTAACTTTGTCTCTTCTGTGAGTACAATTACTGTTGAGAACTCCTCTTTCACAACAGACTATTCTTTCTTTCAGTGTACATCCAGCAAACTATCACCACTGAAAAGAGTCTTTGAGCATACACAGAGTGGTTCATTGAACCCAGACTAGAACCCTCCTTTTGCATAATCCTGGACCCCCACTGCCCTTCTGGAGCCAGGCAAACCTTCTGGCTGTACACAGATCCTCTAGTTGGCTGGCCCTTCTCTCCCGAGGCTGGGCCATGGGGCCAAGGACTGCAACAGGCTCTTCCGGCTCTGTTCCCCTGCCCCGTCCTGGTATCGCAGGCCCTGGCTCTTTCCAGAGCCTGCCAGAACTCCTGGCAGCCTTGAAATGCGCTCTTCTGCCTCCACCATCTCAGTGTCTGGGACCCTCATTTCCCAAGCCTCATCCTCCCCATCCAAAGAGTCCGTGTTACTCTGGCCCTGAAATGCATACCAAGAACAACTGCCCCTTTCATGCCCACACGATTGATCAAAGCATAGCCTGCACTCTTTGTACTGATAAAGGTGAGATAAAGGTGTAGCAGGCAACAGCTACACTCCTGTGTGTTCTTTTGCTGAACCCAATCTTCTTTTGCAACTTAAACTGGATTAGGTGTGCTTGCCAGTTGAAGTGGAGGGAAACCTGTACCTTCGAGTAAGTTAAAAACATAACTTGTAATACTGCTAATAATATAAAATAATTAAATGTAGTTAAATAATAGTTACATGTATTTAAAATGTGTGTGTCTTGATCAGCTTTTCTATCTCATATCTGGTCATACAGTGGTGTGAGCATAAGGAAGGGAATTGTATTGCTTTGCACCAACAGCGTCACAGACAATAAGCAGCTGGATTCTTTCGCACTCACTCAACCGCATTCCACTCATTGTTCACATGAGCGTAACCAAGGGAATGCAAGGGTTGTTCTGGAGCATTGCATTTTTCTATAATCTTGATGCATGTTTGATGGGAAGAGGCATATATATAAGTGAACAGTTTTTTTTGGGGGGGGGGTTTGAGGAATGCAATATTTAGTGAAATCCAGTTAGAGACATCACAGAATTGTGCTTGCATCTGTTTCCTACTGTGTACGTCTTATATATAACTATCTGTTCCTTGGCTAGCTGCAATTGCACAATCGACACACAAGATAGGAGGAATTTGTAGGCTTGGTAGAGCTGCCAACACAACATTTCCCTTCCAGAATTCAGACTGCTGCTTCTGTCACTCAGATGCAAGATTCTTTGCAAATCTGAAATAGTTGAGGGGCTTTCAGACTAGGGTGTTATAGCCATATTGCCCTCCTTCATTAATGTTAAAGGGTTTCCCCTGTCATCACACTTCCTCTGTTTTCCAACAGTGTTAAGGAAGAATAGATGGAATTGCTGTATGGTGCTGTCTAACCAGTAACGAGTAGGAACCCTCTGTCTTTAAGCTTGTTGGTAGTCGTTCTCGATCCAAACTAATTTTATACATATACTGTCCTTTAATACCTGTGCAAAGTTCATGCCCTAAGATACAGTTGCTCAGCTTTCTCCAACAAGCCAGATGTGCCTGCCAGATGTATTAGACTGCCATAATTCCCAACGGCCATGTTGGTTGGCCACGATGAGGGTTGCATTCCAATACATCAGGAAGCCACATGGATGCGGGAAGGCAGCTGTAACTTCATAATAAGCTTGTGTCAGAAGTGGGCTGCATTTTGAAGTGCATCTTTGCTCTCCATCACTCATTCCCTTTCCAGGCTGTTCTCGGCAAGCTGCTTTTTGGGGAGAGTCATGCCCTGTTGTGGTGGATTGGGATTTCCATTACGCTTCTTGGACTCCTCCTGCTTCACACTGCCCCACCAACTCAGCCAGGGGAAGAGAAGCACCTGAAGGAAAAGAAGACATAGCAACTCGAGGGGCTTTGCAATTCACAACAGAAGCAGGAAATCACATCAGGACCACAAAAGGAAACCAAGCAGAGGCCTTCTGCCCTGCTTCGCCCCGGCTGGAGGTGTTTTTCCTTTGGTTTTGTTTACACAAATGGATTTATGGCAGATCACTAAGTGTGACAGAGGCTTTGGTGATAGTCGTGCTACAGTGAGTTCCGGCACACTGAACCATGGAGAAGTTCTGTAAGAAGAACCAGTAATGCCATAAATCTGGCTGCTGAAGTAACTCTGGAAAGAAGTGGGTAAATAAGAATGCTTATCACAGAATTTACCAGACCTAATTGGAGCAAACAGTCTTCTACAGTTTTATGAGGAACAGGTGCTACTACATACTATCGACTCCTTTGGTGAAGCTGCCAAATTTCAAGTTTTCAAAAGGGGAGGGAAAGAGACAGGTAATTGTATACTTGCATGCCCTTCCCACCTGACAGGATATATACGTACTTTATATTGTACATATATCTGACACAAGGACTTGGTCTTCCTTTTCTCTGTTCCTTTGTGTAACCTGTCCTGTGATGCTGTACGTAACAGATGGTTCTAAAAACAGAAACTGTTCTTAGTTTCTGTAGCCACAGTGGGAACTAAACAAATTAAAACTTTTGGGAAAATAGCTTAGCATAACCACGCAGCAGCTGTTGACCCATCCTTTCGCTTCTCTGTCTGTTAAATGCAGTAGTATACAACTGCACCTTAGAAAACCTGGATTAAAGTCCTGAGCCAGCCATGACCTGGTTTGCATAGTGGGACAGCCCATTGTGGGTAACTTGCCACTGTGGGCTGTTGTATCATCTGAACGTAGACCACTTCTCATAGAGCAGCTTGTTCTGTTTCTTCAGATAAGCCACATTAGAACCCATGGCTGTCCTAGGAATTGCTTTACTCACAATGGGTTCTTGTGTTGTCTGAGCCCAAGCAACTGATCTCTCTGTGGGTAAAGCGAGGTGCTGAGCAAGAGTAGCTTAAAACTGCCAGTGACATGTGCTGAAGCAACACAGCAAAGGGGCTGTCACTGGTTGGCCAACTCTTATGTATAATTTGTTTAGCACTCCAAATGGGTACTTTTTTGTATTTTTAAAAAAGAATTTCTAATCAAACCTCCACGAGGGCAGGGGTGTGCAGTTCCATGAGTCTAAAATTGGTAGCCTCACCAGAGCAATGTCTGGAGGAGGGATTAGTTCCTGTCAGAGTTTGGAGCTCTGGGATATGGCTCCAAATTGTTTTTAAAAATGCTTTGATGTGACAGCTGTCAAATCCAAGCACAACTGAATGAGTTTTCCTCATATGGAATCAATGTAGTGAGATTCTTGTGATTTTGAGTGACCCCTCCGTAGATCCTAGTGTCCCCAATTTTTCACCCTTTCCCAAGTCTGTAAGTGTTTGGGATAGTGAGAATTGCCCCCCAACCTCTTTTTACTGACACTTGCTTTTGACAGCTGTCAGAAGAAGAGCTTCTTTAAAACAAAAAAGGACTGAGGAAGCGCTAAACAGGAAAGTTGCAATGAAGTAGTATACTTAGTTCCCTGTTCAAACTATCCTGACATAATAACTACCATCAAAAATGGTCATTTTTCCTGCTTTGCCACTACTACTGCGGCAGTAAAGCAGTGATTGGCATGCTTGGGCCCCTGATGGTGGAATGCGCTCCCCAAAGAGGTCCGCCTGGCGCCTTTTTATTTAAGTGTCACTTTAATTGTTAATATTATTTGCTTATTTTATCTGGCCGGGGCGACTTATTTTATATTGTTATTTCTTGTATTTTAATTTTATGTTGTGAGCCGCCCCGAGGCTTTGGCGAATGGGGCAGCATAGAAATGTTTAAATAAATAAATAAACAAACAAATAAGTAAGTAAGTAAGTAAATGGGGGCTAGGTGCCTCTGGCATCCACTATGGCCCTAGCAGAGACGAACATTTGTGCACCCCTCCTGCAGATGGCCTGCAGGTATCAGCTCAGCAGGACTCAGGTGAGAGAAGAAGCCAGTAGGGTCCCATTTACCCCACCCTGGCATTGCTGTCTCTCCAAAGCCTTGCTCGAGTCCAGATACCAAGTCTCAGGGCACCCTTTGTCCAGTTGATAGTTGACTAGCTTGATCGTCCAGACAGTGGTCTGTTACAGTCCTGTCTGGCTGATCTTTGCTTACCCCCACACTACCAGCCCTGAAGCAGGAATAATCTCAATGGAAATTAATGGGGCTTTCCCCCAGATAAATGTGTCCGGGAACAGTTAGTAAACCCAACAAAGTTTACGCAACCTCGATGCTTCGGGAAGTTTTGAGAACCGACTGCTCTGCTGTTATGTTACTGCCACCTCTCAAGAGTTGGCTTCTGCATCGCTTCTGTGGAAACGAGTAGCTTCACAAGCGTGCTGCTTTGCGCTCACGGGGTCGCCTTATCTGCTGAAGCTTGATGCCACTTGCCCAGGTAGCCCATAGTGACGGACACTTTAAATGCATTTGGACACTCCTGGCAAATTGGAAACTCATTTTTCATCTGTGTGTCAGTCCCACAGCAGGAAACTTGGCTGAAAAAACTCAGGCTTGTCACCACTGGCAAGCTCTTCTACTTAAAGGTGACCCGCAGAAGAAGGAGGCGGCTTGGACTCAGGCCATTTGTCACTTTTCAGTTCCTGTTTCTCACGCTAAGAATTCAGCATGTACCTGTCCTGGAAAGAGGCCGATGATGAAAAAATGGGTGAGATTGTGACAATATGTGGAGCCCAGGGAATACGTGAGAGAAATAAATTTCTAAGTATCCTACTAAAAACTGCTCTCTGTGGGAAGAATATTAAAATATATTGCCTGAAAATAATGTGCTGCTTAAAAAATGCCTTAATTATCTTTAGGAACAGCAGTATATTTGCAGAAGGGCTAAGGGTGTAATGAAGCCACATGTGCCTCCCAAACTATTTAGAATCAAGGATGAGAAGTGGTCCAAGCATGTTTTAAAGTGTCTCTGTGTAAAGAATACTATATTTAGTAGAGGCCTGGGGTTATTTGGAGTCCCTGCTCCAAGGCCCTGTGCCCACAGTGTTGCCCCTGTCATGCCTCCCTTGCAGCCGGCTTGGGAAGAACCACGCAAATGGCCTCTGAAGGCAGAGAAGGGGACATGACATGGTGGAGAGGAGTCTGAAGCTGAGAGCTCACGTCGCGACCAAATGGTGTCCGAACAGCCTTCCTGTCCCCTCCATGCTGCCTTAACCAGATGGCTGCAAACAGCCTTCTGGGTGAAACGCAAGGTGCAAGGCATGGTGGTTGCAAAGATCACCGCTGCTCCATGTGTTGGATGCACTCAGTCTGCAAGGGTGCAGGACATTGGATTGAGCCCTTAATGATTGAAATAAATAAGATTCTGAATTAACCAGACCCACACACAGATGAAGACTCTTACTAAAAATAAGGACTCCACCTGATTTTAGAGCAAAGAATAATGGCTAGAAAATAGCTAAATCTTGCTCCATTTCCCCAGTCCTTTCATTCATTAGTTTATTGTTCTTCAATCCATGGATTCATTAGTTTATTTCCACATGAATGTGCCCAAACCAGTTCACAGCATATCAAATGAACAGCAATAAATATAACAATCCAAGAACTTTTATGAACAAGGTACATCCTTCTATCTCCTGAATCTTCCACAAGTCAGCTTTATTTGAAGAACCTGGGTCCCAGTGTTATGAGAGCAAGAGAATACCTTGCCTCTGGCTGATTTTTCTACACTATGTCTAATTGTGCACACTGTGATCATGTCTTCCCTTACTTGTCTTTTTTCCAAGCTAAAGAGCCCCAAATGTTGTAACCTTTGCTCATACTGCAGTCACTCCTGTTTTCTGATTATTTGGCTGCCCACTCTGGCGCCTTTTCATCTTTACAATATTTCTTACAAGATACAGCAACCAAAACTATTCACAGAGATGCAGCTCAGTGGCAGAACATGTGCATTGATTACAGGATGTTCCCAGTGCAATCTCCGGGTCGGACTGTAAAAAAGGCCTGCCTCAGATTCTGGAAAGCTGCTGCCAGTCAGAGTTGACAATGCTAGGCTAGATGAACCAGAGCCAACCCAGCAGAAGGCAGCTTCCCACATTCCTAAGTGGAGGTTGTGCTTCAGATTTCTTGGTTGCTGTTGGCTGTGTGTTTCAGAGCTCAGAATTCATTCCTGGAGTTTTCCCACTGCAGTGACTCCCGCACTCAACAGAGCATGCACCAGAGTCAGGATGAGTGCGTGCTCAGATACTCCTTTGTTTAGGTGATGGCATTCTCAATCTCTTGCAGTCACAGTCTTCAGTCATTTTCCCCTCTTCATATAACTCTTAATACACAACCATCTTCCAACTCTATATCAGTATGCATGCAGAACAGAAATCCTTTTAAAATAAATTATCAGTATACTTTAGAATACTAAGTACATAGTTATCCAGCCTAATAGGTACAAAAAATTATCCTATAAAGTAACAAAGAGCTGCCATTTCAAAGGAAATCTAGAGTGCAAAGTACAATCATTCTATTACATGCTCTGCGTGTTAATTTATCTATTTGAATTCCAAAGCCATAAATAGATCTGTTTTATTAGTGCTTAGAGGTATAACAATCTACCAGTACCTAACCAATACAATTCTGGTAGTGATTAATAAGTTTACAACCAAACCCTTAATAGTTTTTTTCTAAAATATCAGCAAATTGCTTAACAGTATAAACAATACATCAAATCCTAAGCTGATTCCTATTATTACATTTATGCATCAAATAACAGATCTTCAACCGGCCTTTTTGAACCTTTAATCAATTCCACAATACATGAATCAAATTTCATCTTCATTTGGATGTTCATCTTACACTTCAACATCCAAACCTGTTAGTCCTGTATATTCTGCTTAGTGAGGAGTCATTAATGACTTACGTAAAATTTTATATTAAGCTTCCTTCAAAGGAATACTGAACATTTATTTACTTTAAAGATTTCTAGCCACACCTTCTTCTCGAGAATCCTACCAGCATCTCTTCCTCTCTTCTCAGATGAAATATTTATTTATTTACTTAAAACTTTTATATCCTGTCACCACATTCCTTGGCATCTCGGGATGGCTTACAACACATACAATTAAAAACAATAAAACAACAGCAAATTCCATAAAATATATAAAAACAAAAAATTGACTGTTAACAATAAAATATTAATTTTTTAAAATGACAAATATAAAGATTTTAACCTGGCACCAAAAAGAATATAAATTCGGCTCCAGACACACCTCTCCAGGGAGTGCATTCCATATCTGGGTGCCACCGCAGAGAAGGCCCTGCTCCGGGTAGCTATTCTTTTTATCTCCTTTAAAGAGGGCTCCTAGAGCAAAGTCTTTCCGCAGATCTTAAGGGGCATGAGGGCATGTAAGGGAAGAGGTGCTCCTTCAGGTATCCTGGTTCCAAGCCATTCAGGGCTTTTTAGGTTAAAACCAGCACCTTAAATTGGGCCTGGACTTCAACTGGAAGCCAGTGTAGCTGGTAGAGGACCGGCATTATATGAGAATATGTGATAATAAACATAACATTTTTTCCTTTCCTATTTCAACAGCATTAATATTGTGAATCACTCTCTGTATAGAGGTTTTAGATCATGCGAAATGAAGTTCTACATTTCACAAAATTCAAACATAGGGTTGTCCTCCCAGATCTATTTCTACCAGCATATCTCTAGAGATAACCCCAGCTTCCTTTCCCAGAACTTCTAATATACAGCCACTTTGAATTTGCATTGTAGAACAGTCCCTCCTATACTAACTCCCTTTTTATGTCTAATGTTGACTGACAGTTGAAATAAATTTTTTGGACATATTCTACTGCAGTATTTAAACTAGAGAGTCAGTGGATGTCCTGGGATTATTTTATTTGGAATCATGTTTCCCACTGCCTCCTTTGCTATCCATGTGGGAGCATTTATAGGAACTGGGATGCTTGTTCCAACAGACAGTCTTGGTTTAATTTATCCTGTTCAAACCACAATTTCATCTGTGCTGATCAAGCAGCCTCAAAGTACTGACCCAGGAAAAGAAAAGCAAATTTATCCTCATTAAAATTTGGTTGCAATAATTCAACTTTCACTCTACCATCTCTACTTTGCCCATGTTCATTTTAATTGGAGCTGTTCTCAATCTAGAATTTGTCTAAAATTAAATCAAGTTACATGGATTCAGAAACCAGAATTTTGGTACAACTGTCTTTCAATTGTAGCCACCCACACAAAGGGCATGGCTATTTCTATTACGTTTCATTCTCCCCCTCATTAACCTGGGTCAGCCATTCCAAATTTTCTGTTTCTGTGTATTTCCTCCTCCTCCTAAAGAAGGCAGAGCTACGGAATTCCCCAGCTGGCAGGGCTAACACCAGCCTTCAAAGGGCTGACTAGACCAGCAATGCTTGGGCAGTGATGCCAAGTTGTCCATGTTGGTTTCAGGAAAAGACTCCCTACTGCAAACCATCCCTGGCTGGCAAAGCCCTCTGAGTGGGTTCCTTCAGGAAGCACTCCTCAAGGTGCCAAGGCAGTCTCTCAACTGCAACTCCGAGCTCAGGCTGGCATTACGAATCAGGCCAGCAATACGAATTGTGAGAAGAGCAGGAGCAAGAGCCCCTGGTGACAGTGGCGGCAAGAAGATGAGCTCACTGAAGGAGGGGCACATCTGGGGTGTCTTGCC